TGCTTTAATAAAATAAATAGTCCGTTTTTACACTTTCGGGGGGAATTAGCCTACCTTTGGTTTATACATATTAAGCTGGGGTATGAGAAAATATTTGAATATAAAAGAACACACATCACCTTTAAAGAAATGTGACAAGCTGTCAAACGACGAGGCTATATTTGGGGCATAAAATCAGGACCATGGAGAGCTCCCGCCCCGAGTGTGCGCTCAGCACTTGCTCTTCTCTCTTTTATTCGAACAGTTAAAATTGACAAAAAAGCATGTATTAATATGTTTCCGTTTTATTATAGTTACACACTAACCCAAATTAATTCAGTGGTGAAGGAAACAAAGGCACATTGGAGTGATAATATACATTGCCGCCTAGCGGGGTAAAGCTCTTCATCTGTACGACGGGCCTCAATACTGTGGCGAAATACGATCCCGCTGATCAAAGGAGACACACCACAGAGCCAGTGAGATTTACAACTGACACATACATCTAAGCATTTTCTAAACAGCTTACCTATCAGTTCTACTAATCGCCCTTGGATCAAACGCAACTGTTTCTGGCAATTTTCGGATGTTATCTTCCTGAAACTGCACTGTGCATCTGGCTGCACACAAACACACTTTTCATTTGTCTTAGACTTTAAATTTGCATATCCACATACCAACTTTCTTGAAATGTCCTACACTGTAAAATCTAATTAGTTGGGCTTACTTAAAAAAAGCATGCAAACCGATTGCCTTGAAAAAACTAAGTAAAGTGAAATAGCAATAGTATGTTGTACTGACAGATGCTTAGTTAGTATAGCTTACTTACACGAGAGTTCTAGTAACTAAAAAAGAACTGTAGGGGGAACTTGATCCTTTCATTTAGGTTTACTCATGACTTAGTATAGCTACTCACTGACTCCCAGAGTGCATTGCGGTATGAATAAATTATACAGTTGCTTTGTTTTATAGTTGTTGATTTTATTTGACAATTTTCTTTGCTGTCTTGTGTCAGTAGCAGCACAATAAAAAGAGCAAATAAAATGGCTATTGTTACAAGTAATGAAAATAAATTAAATTGAATTGTTACCATTGTTGTGGTTCACGTACTGAATGTTTAAGTCTGTGTGTGACTTTAGCATGTTATCTCACACGATTCAAAAATTATATAAATCCCCTAAAAAAGCATCTCTGGGTTTTTATGAATTTTTTTTTGATAAAGTTGATTAATGAACACACACAACGGGCACAAACTCTTGTATCACACGCTTGTCAAACACCTTGTTCTATATTCTCACCACTTCCTTTTTTTCTCCATAGCCCTGGAGGTTCAGTAAGCTAGAAATACAAATTTCTGTATGAAATGACAGCATTTTATTCTGTGACAATGTGAATCTCTCCCGGGGCGAAATAATATGTAGTCAAGGACCTGGGAATATTATGCAACACATTACAATTCAACCTGACTGCCAGAGAAAGAGTAAGAGAGAGGGAGAGAAGCTAAGAGAGAAAAAGACAGGGCATTATGTGAGATGAATGACAATAAATGGATGAAATGGATGACCAGATCTTGAATTACTATGATCATGACCTTTCAATTACTTTATTTTTGCAACAATTGATTCAATATCAGCTGATAAAAACATCACAATATTCCACAAGTAACCCATATGACTCCAGTCCATCAATTAGCATCTTAAGTAAAAAGCTTGTTTGTAATAAACAAATCATGATTAAGACGTTTTTAACTTCAAACCACTGCATCTGGCAAAAATACAAGACCATCATCCATAATATCGCTTTCTCCAGTGAAACAAGCTCTCTCACCTGAATCAGGAGAGATATGTGTACAGATCAAGCACCGTTTACAAGCAAAAAGAGTCCAAAAGTGGCGGCCTAGAGTGACCGGAGGTTGGCTTGAGTGAGCGGCGGCCGGCGGATTCGACGAAGGAGCGTGCGGCGGGCTTGCGGCAACCACATGTGACGACCCCGGGCTGGACTCCGCTTCGTCCACAGTGAAAGCCGATCCGGCGATCCACAGCGAAAAGTTTTAAGTATTTCCTCAGCGACCAGCACAGATCAGCTCCAGGCATGACGAAGCAGATATCGTCCTCTTTTGGAAGGCCAAACAAAGTAGTTTCGCTTTCACAACGAAACACACAGCGCCTTCATGACATGGTGGCAGCAACAATACTACAGCGAGAATAAAAGTTACGCCTTCTTTCTTTGCGTGAACATTTGGGCGGCGTTATGCAAATCTTCCCACATAGTGACGTAGACATATGGGGGCGTGTTAGAACGAGCCATTTTAGGTAGGCGTGGTTGACTCTTAACTTTTATAAAGAATATCTCTTTGGATTTGAGACTTTAGTCTTTGCAACTTTACAGATCTTCTTTATGCACCAAGAGCTTGTAACACTCCAAAGAGAAAGGAAAAATTTAAATTGCATCATATGACCCTTTTAAGCATTACTACTAAACAGACACGTCTGTGGATATGATACTGTCTAAGAACAGTCATTTTCCTCCAGCTTGCAGGATATGCTTCTCCCCAGCTGAGATGTCATTGGTGTGTTTCCTGTCTCAGTTTGGGGAAGACCAGACCATCTGTCTCTGTCTGGCCTGGGCCACCACATTAGAACTCTTTTGTAAACATGCCGCCATACTGTGCTTTTGCAGAGTGGAACATGTTCAGAAATTACATTTATGGAAAAAGCCTGATGGGAAGGTAAATTGAAAAGCTGTACTATTAAACTAGAACATACTATTTTTATAGTTGGTTTAAAACTGATCCATTCCTAGTCAACACTTTACTCCCCAAGGTTCTTTTTGCTTTTATGATTATTTGTACCCTTGTCTGTTAGTCTAAATATATGATTTGTTTTATAAGCAGAGAGAGACAGACCAAAAGAGGGAGGGTTGAGCTAATGAAGGAACCAGAGATAGTTACATAATCATTTCACTCCTAGGGGCTTTAGCACAAAGCGTCTTAAAATAAATGGAACAGTCTGTGTGAACACATTCTCTGAAAAACTGCCCTGAGCGAACCAAATATAGCATTGTAGCCAGTTACAATCTTCGTATTATCATGTAATTAGCATCTATGTGCAGGAGATGGGCTTTAATTACAGTCAGACACATCCACAACTCACAATGTGATCGGTTTATAGATTTATTGGGTGTGCAGCTTTGCACTCATTCGATTATGCTCTCATTTGTCAGAGCCAAACAAACGAGGAAATACCAAGACAAAGAGTCAAACTGTTACTCAACACGCAGTCAGTAATGCGTCAGAGGTTATCAGTCTTTTACACAACTCACGCTCAATAAAGCTCAACTGAAGAGTGGTCTTTTATCCATCAGTTTCGGTCATCGAGTCGGAGGAGTAGGTGAATACGGGCCCTCGCACTAGGGGAGAGTGTAAGGTCAGTTGTAACATTGCCAGATGATCCAATCAGCAGCATGCTACAGTGATGTCACCTACTTTGAAGACTTTGTGAATGAGACAGCTGTGAATGTGAGTGAATAGTTCAAATTTAGTGAAAATCTTTTAGTAAAGGGATAGTTCACCCAAAAATGAAAATTACCCCATAATTTACTCACCCTCAAGCCTTAGGGGTATATGACTTTCTTCTTTCAGACGAATATAATCAGAGTTATATTAAAAAATGTCCTGGCTCTTCCAAGCTTTATAATGGCAGTGAATGGCGGTCAAGCTTTTGAAGCCCAAAAAAAAGTGTCCATCCATCATAAAAAGTGCTCCACATGGCTCCGGGGGGTTAATAAAGGCCTTCTGAAGCAAAGCGATTTGTGTAAGAAAAATATCCATATTTAAAATGATTAAACCATAATTTCTAGCTTCCGCTAACTGTCATACACGCATCCATGAGAGAGTGGTGTTCCAGAGGATGACGTAGGACGTAGGCGTAGTGTAAGCTCTGGTGAGAAGTGGCGAACATGGAAGCACAGAGGAGAGAGCAAAACAAAAAAGAAAAATGTCGGAGGATTTCGATACAAGCCAAGAGGAGACTGGTTTTCCTTTGCTGTAAACAAAACTTGGTTCTAACGAGACTAGCATATTCTCACCGGAGTTTACGCTACACCTACATCCCAAGTCATCCGCTTGAACGCCACTCTCTTGTGAACCAGGTATGACTGTTAGCGTAAGCTAGAGATTACCATTTTTTAAATATGGATATTATTCTTACACAAATGCATCACTTCACTTCAGAAGGTTTTTATTAACCCCCCACCCACCCCACAAATAATACCACAAATCAAACATTCTTTAATGCCATGTTCAGGGTCAATTGTAACATTTTTACTTGCTTGAATTCATTCATTTAAAACGTCCTCAGAATGATTTGGTCATGGTCATTATGAACACTTAACAGGCAAATAAAATGGTTGTTTAGCTTGTTTTGTTCAATAAAATTTACAACAAAATGTGACAAAAAAACCCCAACAATGTAAAACTAACCCAAAAATGCAACATATTTTAAAAGGTCAGAATCTACTTGCGAGAAATTTTTCCACAAACCCAAACAGTGTAAATACATTTTGGTCACACTTTACATTGCAGCGTTCATGTTATTGTTGAAGGTATTTTTCATTATATAACTGATTGGGTAATACTAAGATCACATAATATCAATATTAATGAGCAACATGCATCATTATTTTGTGGAGCAAATTTTGTATTTACAGTAGCTTAGAATTTGAAACGATTTATTTTATACGGATTGTTTTTCTCAACTTTTATGCTACTATATATACGGTTGTTTCATTTTTAACACCTTCCGTGGAAACTTTTTTTTTTTTCTCAAAACCACCATAAAGGTTTGTTTACCATCGCTAGATGTAAGATTTATATCGGCTAAATCAATGTGCAGACTCCAGCTGGGTGGGCGCGTTTCGGGGGCAGTGGAACTCGAGCGCGAGCAGGAGAGCACGCCGTTGATTGGATAACAGAGCTGTATAAATTGCCGCACTGCCGTGTTTCTCTCTTTCGTGAAGATTTAGTCCAAACCCCAATGCGGTCTGAACAAACTGCCCAGGGCCGTCATACGAAAGAGCCACTGCGCACAGGACCCTCTTATTTACAATGAAGGAGAGAAGAATCAGCCAGCCTTTGGTAATGCGTTGTAAACTGGTTTTAGTAGGAGAGGTGCAGTGCGGGAAAACCGCAATGTTGCAAGTCTTGGCCAAAGACTGTTATCCTGAGGTATGTCCTCCTCTCTCTCTCTCACCTATTCACTGAGCGGCTATTGATGTGTATGTTCGCTAAGACACTTGGATGCTTGTTTATGTCATTATGCAACCATATACCGTGACTATTAAGCACCGCGTAATAGTATATTCATACATCATACATCAAGGTAATACATCATGTATCTTTCTCATGTGAGTTGTTGTGCACGTGTTGACGCTGGGGGTAAAAATCGACGCTTTTGCAACAAACCCATGATATATACTGAAACTAAATGACGTTTTAAACGAAATTAAGTGTTTTTATAGAAAGGTTAAATAATTAAGTCATTAAATAACGGCTTTTATTTCTTTCCCCCCACACAGACATACGTCCCAACGGTGTTTGAGAACTACACCGCTGGACTGGAATTAGAGGAGCAGCGCGTGGAGCTTAGTTTATGGGACACGTCAGGTGAGAGAGAGACTGACCGACTAACAGCTGGACAGCGGTGATACTGCTTTACACATTTGCACTCAGTAATTTTAGCTAATTAATACAGTTTTACATATATGACAGCACTGTCTGTAAATATCATTAAATTGACCCAGAAATTACCGTACAATTCTGTCATCATTTACTCGTTCCTAAGTAACTTGTATGACTTTCTTCTGTGAACACACACAATATATATATATATATATTTTTTTTAATGTCCCAGTGTTTTTTTTTTCATACAATATGAGTTATGACGCTATTAATTTTACATTGTACTAAATCAGAGGTACAACTACTCAGCCTCTGACTAACATTTAATTGGCTTTTATTCATCCCAATATTACTAGAAGTTTTAATCGCCTATTTCGGCCTGAATACATGTGGTTTGTTTACTACTTGCTTCCACTTCACAGTAAAGCTGTTCATGCTTGTTTTATTCGTTTTCTTGCATACAGTGAATGTAAATTAATTGTCCAGCTTTGTTTTGGACCCTATTTATGGACGAAAATGAATAAAACAAACATCAACAAACAGCTTCACTGTGAAGTGGAATGTAAATGTTCATCAGAGCAGTAATAGCTCAAATTTTGTACAATGTAAAAATAACATAACTCCTATATATCAAATATACACTAATTGTAATAACCTGTGTCACTGATCGACTGTTTATTGCCTTGTTTTGTTCTGTGATATCTTAATTGCATCTTCAATGCATCATATGTTGCATTACAATTTTCAGATTTTCACTTTCTGCATCCACATGCATTATCTTTTGTCCATTCTCGGCTGTTGTGTTGACTGTTACTGGGCTAGTAGGTCAGTCAGACGTTACAGGAAAGACACACCATAAGCACCTGAGCCCTGAGTCAGGGAACACAAGCTGGCATGTGTGAGGCTGCAGTACGTGGGTGAGAGGGTCTGGCAGCTGCAACACCTGAGACTGATCCTCAAGTGTCAGATGCTGGCAGCGTGCCATCTTTACCTTCTGTCTGCCTCTGGATCAGACGAGACAGACAACTGGCTAATAAAATAATCAGGGCCGTGTAGGACAGCACAAGGTTTTGGCATGTTTTGTAATTTTCTCAAATTGTGACATACAAAGCCTTTTCAATGACGTAGGTGGCTTTTAAGAGATACTGTCTCTTTTTTGAAGCAGCTTACACAGATCAGCTCCTGTTCCAGGGCCTGTGGTTTTGTCTATCTGATTCATTTGGTCAAGTAATGTTTAGTCTGTGTGTTTGCACATGTATCTAATTAAGAGTCTTAGTAAGATTAGACTAGTAGTACAAAGCTGTGGTTCAATGACTGATAGCTGAAGCTCTTACTTTCTTTTAACCAAATGCATTCTATATGAGATAAATCAGATATACATCAAATAAACACAATATTACAACGTACAATTGCACAAAAGGCTGCAAACGAACAGCGCGCATCTGAAGTGTCTCTGAAGGAAATAATGCATTATTTATCTGCTTTAAGATATCGGCCAAATTTTCTTATCAGGCCGATACCGATAACAGAAAAAATTAGCATTTATTGGCCGATACCGATATGGTGGCCGATATATCGTGCATCCCTACTTTATCTAGTAAAAAAAATGGAATGTTCTTATGTTTGGATTCATGGAGCTTTACGGGTAAAATACAACTCTTAAATGGATAGTTCACCCAAAACTACTCCTCATGTGATTTCAGACTTGTATGGGAAAAAACAAACAAACAAACAAAAAAAAATATATATATATATATTTGAAGATTGTATAGACAAAAACAGTTCAAACAATGAGAGTTCAAAAAAACATTGAGGGTGAATGCGTAATTTTTTGGGGGGTGAACTATCCCTTTAAATAGGTTTTAGGTTTCTCTCCTGAAAATTATAACTGTTCTCATACCAGTTATGTACCAAACCATCTAAATCTTTGTAAACTCTGTCTTACTTGTTTTGGATGGATGTTTTATTTATTTATTTTGTATAACATGCCCTTTCCAAATGCCCTTAAACTGATATTCCAAACTAGATAAATTTTTGCAAGAGTGTGTAGGTTTAATATTTTTAAATCCCATAGCTGCTGTGATATTGCATGCAGAGTGAAAGCTGGGTTCTTCAAGGTCATGTTGCGTAGCACGTTGTGTAACATATCAGTCAGTGATGCCTGATGAGTCTGAATCTATGTTAACTGTCATGCTTGACTGAGTGCCTACTTGCTAGGATGAGTCGATGGGATATTGTTTTTCTCTAATGGGTGCTTGATAAGGGAGGTTATTTGGTTTTTCACTATTTCTGTTGTTTGCTCCAAAACCTCACAATGTGAGGTAATTAAGATTTTTCACCTGTGGAAACTAGGACATTTTGATAGCAAAATAGATTATTTTAGGCTTTGTTTCAAAATTGTTCACATTAGAGATATACTGACTTTTTTTGCAGCTGAATCAACACATTTTTATATGCACAGTTGATTAATAATTATTGTTCTGTTTCTGCTTTTGAACTACTACTACTACTAATAATAAAATAATTTGTATTAAAAAGTATAACTAAATGAATTTATTATATCTTATATAATATATATATATTATATTTATATATAATATTATAAATTGTATTAAAATTAATATCTAAATAATACAAATAATAAATGAATAATTATAGAAACAACAGCAATTAATAACAACAAAAACAAGCAAAAAACAAGCAACCATAACATCTAAGCAAATGCCCAGAACATCTACTTTACATGTGGCATCTGGTTGTGAATGAACTCTTAAGCAAGGAGGACTTCCTGTCTATGCACATTTTAGGTATTTCCTGCTGTGCATTTTATCTTGACACACTGCCTTATCATGGAATGTTAAAAACACTCTAATGGAATTTCCCAGTCCTACTGACCTAGAACAGTGAAACAACACTGGAAAAACTTAAACTAACCCTGGACACGGAATCCAGATCAGGGCCCGTATTCACAAAACATTTTATCTTACCACTAAGAGTTCTCCTAAATAGTAGTAAACGTTTTTAGCTAAGAGTTTTCTCTTAAAACCTATTCACAAAGCTGCTGAGACAAACTTTTACTAAGGAATAGACAGAAGTCTTAAGCTAAGAGTAAGGGCGGGGTTGCCCTTGTTGCAATGGAGGATGTCAGCATACTTACTATGCACACAGTGATTGGCTGATAGTCTTTGTCAGAGATTTATTCATAGAAATATTGTAGAGCACAATATTATGTTGCCACATTCAAATAAAGATTTTAAAACGCAGGCTAAGTGTCACTAATTAAACAAGTAGGCTATATATTCAGTAGGCTATATATTCAGCTAATTGTCAGCCTCTTATGCTTCTCGTAAACAATTAATCAATATGCATTAGGGCTGCCCTTGACTAAAGATTTTTCTGGTCGACTAGTAGTCTTTCATTTGCAGCAATAGTCGACTATTAGTTGCACTTTTATTAATAAACCATATAAATCATAATAATGAGCCTTTAATTGCCTACATAGCCTAATAAGCGCTCAAGCGCATGCAAAAAAAGGCTTGCCACAGCACACCGACAAATATAATAATTATGAATGTGTTAGGGAAAAACAGCAAGTACACTGCATTAACGTTTTAATAATTTATTGTTACACTAGTGCTTTCTGTTTACGGTTTAAAGAGATGAAATCGGCGGCACGAACTCGTCGTCTCCGCAGTATGTGCCTGTAGGTTTCATACGGATTACATAATCTGAGAATATTTGTTTTCTATTTGAATTGGTTCATTTAAAAGTTTAACT